TTATGAAAACAACATAGACACATTCTATAAGAATCGGCAACAACCACAACCATTAACCAATTAGTTATCAACCTCGAGTCTCCATAACATCGCAAGTACCTCTACACTTATCACAGCTATCCTAGCCCTCCACAGTTAATCTTCTTCGAGTAGAGTCAGCCCCTGACCATTTTTACCCAGAGCCCCGACACTTCTGCATCGGCCCTCGACCATTTTTACCCAAGGCCCCGATGACTTCACCATCTATCGACCTTTGACCATTTTTACCCAAGGCCTCAATAGCTTTCCTTCCAAAAGACTCCTCGCATCCACCCTCGATCATTTTTACCCGAGGCCTCGATACTCAATTAGTGACGTATCAGCCCCCGATCATTTATACCCGAGGCTCTGACACTCACCCATTCACTTTCTCCAAGAATCCAACTCTCACCAGAGTCTCACTAAATACTTTCTTAAGCCATGACCCATGCATCTTTCAGCTCACAAACACAATTCATCATGCTTCCACAACATAAACAACATTCTAATAATGAAATGATAAACCACTCATGCTTTCACAATATAACATTTCTTAACAACAGCTCCACAACGAGTTTTGTTGCAACGACGCATAACCAAACAAATTTTAAACAATTAGAGCCCAACACAGTTCACCCAAAACACTTAATATCCAACATCAATATTCAATGAGCATTGCTAGATATAATAAACACACGAAACACGCTGAACAATTCCTGCATATTCAGACAACAAACATCCCCACAGCAAATCTCAGCAGTTTAGCAAGGCAGAAATTACACCATTGTCACCGACAAATATTCAATACTACTCCAAGTATACAGATTAGCACAACCGAGAGCTACCTAACACATCAGCGTATCAAAAACAATATCGAACATCACAAAAACAGCACATTAGAGGCCATCTGACACACATTAACGCACGCACACGTCCCTTGTCTACTTACACAGAACCGCGCCCTTAAGTTTTGCGTCGATCTCACACCTAAGCACTAAAACAGAAAAATACAGCAAGTTACGTACACTATTCAGCCTTTGAAATCAATTCTAAAAGGGTTCAAATGACTCATTACCACCAAAATCGACTTCGTATAGGTGTGGGTCACCTAGATCTAGCTAGCCAAGGTGTGGGTAGCCTAAATCGGGCTTCAACAACGATGGGTAAGCGTCAAACGTTGCTGGAACGAAGGAATCGT